AGAACAACACGCAGCAGAGCAGCGAACGAACGAATAGAGGCAGCAGAAAAATTGAGCCAGCCCAAAATTCCTTTTCTGCAGGCTTATGTTGGGGGATGATGGATGGTCGAGAACTCTTGCGATGGAAGAGAGAGCATTGACTGAGACTTCCTACAGTTTGGCGTTCCAGATCTGGCTGGCTTGGTGCCTGCGCTCGTGCGGTGGGGTTCCTCCCTCTCCTCCAAAGACGGAACCGGGGGGCTGCGCTTGGGATTGACGCGTAAGAGGCAAGCCAAAAGGCACAACGGAAATAATGAGTTATGAGGCAAAAATAAATTCGAAACAATGTCCTGTTCACAAGGGTTGAAGCTCACTCAAGATCAGAAATAGAACTGTTCAAAGTTGATGATAATGGCATACGGTAGTATTATGAACAATGTGATTGGCAAAATGACCCTAGCAACAGGTACTTCCTACACTAAAAGGCAGTCAATAAATTGGTATTATTGCGGGAGAACCATTCTACTTAGGTACCAAACTAGATAATAATACCTATCTACTCCGTACTACTCACTGCATATGTACTACGACTCAATATGCATGAACTCGATAAGCTTCAATAGATCGAGAATTGCATAGTCACAGGTCAGGAACAGTCATATATAAGACTGTTTGTACAGCCAACGTACCTTGTCGCATTAGAAAAGGACAATGGTGTCCTTTCGATATGATTATCCACATTTTACATATTATGGATTCCCTTAAGTCCCTTCACAATTATGTAACTAATCAAAACAGCCAAGTAGATCCCGTCTTTATTCAAGCCATTATTAACTATTATCCAATCATCAGCCTATTTCAGATGCCGTTCATCCTGTTGAGCCCTTCCCTTGGCCTCCCTTGACTGCGATCAGCGTTTCAGCCACGGGACTCTTTCGAGGACCTGAAGTAGCGAAATTAACATGCCGCTAAAATGCTAAGAATAAACACTCTGTGCACCGTGCCGAGGTGCATAACTATGATCACCATGAATATGATCGTCTTGAATATCATTATTGCGATTATTGGAATCCAACGCACTGAAAATGGGTGTCCAGGATTTTCTCATTTTTTTGGCATTATTGCCATAATCCCCTTACAGAGGAGACTTCTCGGTGCTTACTGGCAAGAAGGGACATCAATATCATCCCCTTGTAAGCCCCCTAGGACATAGATGCAAGGACAAAAGCGCATCATCAACTAGTTACTTGTGGCAGCATTGTCGACCATGGAGAAGACCACCATCGAACACCATTCATGAGCAAAGAGATTAAGCAAACTCATCAGATGCCAGCATATCTGTACTATGCCTGGGAGAAACCGAGCGCAAGACAATTATGAGATTCGGAATAGAACATGAAAAAGATTAAGCATATCATTTTGTACCGTTCAGCATAGCAAAAACTGAGTAAACCATCGCACCGAAACACCCTCACGCCGAGCTAGATGCTATCGAAAATAATAATAATAAAGGTCCTCTGTTATAGACATGTGCACAATGGTGGAACCCACGCACAGTGACCCCAAGAGTGACCCATGAGTCGAAGATATCATCTTGCATGCCAAAGCCATGAAAGCAAAATGCGAGAAACAAAATGCACTTTAAACAAATGATGTCACATACAAACCTGGCGTGGCAGAAATCTAGCTTGCCTTCAAAGCAGGGGAATGCAGTTCGGAATACACTCGAAACGGTGGGTGTGCTCGAGTAGAAGCGTAAGACCAGAGCGTTACGTACCTTGTTAGAAAAGACTGCCGAATTCTCCATTGTCGGGCAATTCCCTAGACTGAGATGGAAATACCAGAGTATATGGCCGATATGCGATCGACAGCCATCGCAAAATGAACCGCTGGTTTTGCTAGATATGAGTATGTTTGTTAGATAGGGGCGTGAGCTTCTGAATGAGCTCAGGGATGGCGGGGACGGGAATGAATGAAAAGTATGGGAGCAGTCTAGGGGTATCATGAGGATCGAGAGCGTTTAAGGTCGGGTGAGGGATTCTCAGCGAGATCAAACTCGTCTTCCGGGTCGCGGGATCGTTTCGACGGTCCGTTATCGAGAGATTTCAAGCCAGAGGCCGGGCTTTCGTTAACGGTATCGAGCCCATCGGCAAATCCCAAGTCGATATACTCTTCATCATCGAGCGGCAACTCATCGTCATGCTGGGGGAGAATTTCAGCCGGAGTATCGCCCTCAAACTCGTCATGGTCCTCGCCAAATTCACTAGTGTCGTCGATATTTCCATCATTGTTCTTAGAATCTTTGGGAGGACCCTCGAACAGATCTTCTACGTAACCAAGCGCATCGTCGGCAGGATCTGGAGTATCTCGTTCTTGTTTCTCTGGTACCTGCGAAATCGGAACTGATCCCGAATCCTTGTGCAGATAGTCGCCGTCACCAGCCCTGGGACTCTCTTCAAGATCGTGACTATGCCCTTCAACATTGTCGACGGCATCGTCAATTGAAGAAAGACCATGGCCCGCCAACGGCTGTTCTGTGCGATGGTCTTCGACGACAGGGTCGAGGGAGCCATTATCTTGACTTTCATCGTCACCATCTCCAGGACCCTCAGGCACTTCAAGCTCCACAGGATCTTTCCGTTCTGAATCCTCCTCGTCACTGTTCTCGATTTCAGAATGCTCATTCTCAAGGCCACGATCTGTCTGGTCATTATGCACTGGACTGGCAGAGCCATCTTTGTCTTCCAACTCATCGTTCATATCGGCTCCGGGCAGATGAGCTATAGTGACAGTTGTATCTGTCTGTTGCTCTTCAGAATCGTATGATTCTTCGTGAGCTGCCTCTTCGTTGCCGGCGGTATCCTTGTCAAACTCGGGATCATTGGCGTCTTCAACCACTCCCTCTTCATTCAGTTCGTCCTCTTGGGCATCGGTGGAGGGAGCAACTCTAGTGCTCTGCTTTGCCAAAGAAGCCGCGTCGTTGCCTACGGGCTCCTGGGCTGAAGATGCCTCTCCATTGTCCTCTATATCATGGTAAGACTCAGCTTCATCCGATGCAGCTTGCAATTCGCGAGCATCAATGTGCTTGTTGGTTGTTGGGTGGCTTGGTGACGCGGGCTCTTCTTCTCGGTCACGAGCTTCTTCTTCATGGTCATGAGCTTCGGAGCCCTCCACGAGCTGTTCATCAACTTCCTGGTAAACACCCCACAAATTAATCTCAGACAACCCCTTTCCTTCGCTCGCAGCTAATAGCAGATCTGAGATTTCCGCTGGAATTGTCAACTTTGTACTCAAAGTAAGATATAGCGGCTCTGGGGAATCGATTCCGTCATTGTGGCAGAGGCGCAGATAAACATCGATGATCTGGTGTAAGGTCACCTTCGAGACATGTGTGCAGTCCTGGATCAGATTATTAGCACTTGTTACCAGACCAGTTACACGCGTGAGACACTCACCTCCATGAGCTGCAAATTCAAAGACTCGATATCTAGCACAAGGATTTCGTTCTCACCAACATGCTCATAAAGGACCTCACGACAAGACTCGAAAAGTTTCCCGAGGGGTTCGTAAGCAAGGCTTTCATCTTCGAGAAAAAAGGTCTCCGAAGAATCACCCTCGCGTGGGGGAAATAGAGAAATCTCATTGTCCTGATAATAGACCTTGACAGGATGCAGAGTCACCTGGCCCGTCGTATCAGGCTCATGATCGAATCCTTGTTCCGGCCCTTGCAGGCTGAGATCCTGCGCTGCTTGCTCTTCTGTACCTAAACCTCCTGCTGCACCATGCTCCTCAACAGGCTGCGAAATCTGGCCAGCGTGCTCGTCGCTGCCTTCGTTATAATCATCAGCGCCCTCAAGATGATCTGGATTCGGACCAGTCTTCCCGATATCATGAGGTCTTAACTCGGAATCTACTTGGTCTGTCTGGTTAGTGCGGTTGATGATGTCTCCTCCGGGGCTTTTAGGCTGATGCGCGTCAGCGTGTGGATCGGCGTTGTCGTTGTGCTGATCGAGTGCTCCCTGTAACTCATGACCAGATTCGTCATGGTGCTCGGGTTTCGCTTCAGGATGAGCCCCTACCGCAGGCTCCTGACCATAGTCTTCAGCGACGGGATTTTCAGCCGATCCCGCTTCTTGTGTGTCTGGTTTATCTGTGTTGTCACAAACCTGGACTTCCTGATATTCGGGGGCTGCAGCATCGGCATCATCAACATATTCATCTTCCAGCATTTCTTCCTCATGTGACTCCTCTATCCCGTATTGCATCTCTACATTGTGACTCCCCTCCTGATATTGATCGTCAGCGTCGACCATAGTCGGCTCGGCGACGTTATCCATCATATCGGCATCTCTCGGTCCATCTTGGTCTATATCCTCTTCCTGTAATGTATCCGGGTAATCGTCGGCTGCAGTCATATCCTTATCGGCATTTGAGGCGTGGTCTTCCATCACATCGAGGTCAATGTCAAAATCATCCACATGACCCTGATAGGGAGAAGCCATCTCCATCGTGTCATCAAGGCCAGGAACTTCCATGTTGGAAAATGCTAGTGATGATGTAGTGGTCATGGCATAGGTGTTTGGAGGGTATTATGGTCTCGCGTTGCTAATACTGGTACGCGCAAAACTTTCTCGGTGGCGCCTTATGCTTCGTAAGGCGAGAAGGTAGAGTGAGCCCGCAGAAAGCAACTTCTCTCTTCAAAATGAGAAAGATGTAGAATATAAGTCCAGTCAACGTTTATTATGGCCAGCTTGAATCGCTCAAGTGAAGTAGGAAAGGTAAAGAGCGAGGTTGACGATGACGGGGTCCATAGAAGGATGCAAGCAGAGAAAGCTTCTTGTGTTGCGGTAAGCGAGGGGGTAGCGCGGTGCACGGACCAACAGGGACGAAGAGAACAGCAAGCGACTCCGGCTTCAATAATGAGGCAGATATCCCCAAACAACAACCCCCCAGAAGAAGCAGCTCTTTTCTCTACATAGCAACCATCGGTTTTGACATCGATACCTAACAATCGGGCAACCATGGTGTGCTTACCTTGTTCTCATATATCCAAATCTATGCTGACCGCAGTGCCCAATAGGTTGTTCTCGCAGCATCAATATGCACCCGGGGGGGCAAGGCAGTGCTCTCGCGTCAATTCCGGGAGATCGCCCGCTCCAGGATTGAAGCTTTGCTCGCGTCCTTTCCAAAGCTCGCTGATTCCGGAACTCAGCATACAACCGTTGAACAGGACAATGTTCGCTTTGTCTACCAACCTCTTGACGAGCTATACATCGTCCTCATCACGAACCGCCAATCCAACATCCTTCAAGACATTGACAGCCTTCATCTTTTCGCCCAAGTGACCACAAGCATCTGCAAGAGCTTGGACGAGCGGGAGATCGTTCGCAATGCCTTCGAATTGCTTAGCGCGTTCGACGAGATTGTGACGCTGGGATACCGAGAGAACCTGTCGCTTTCTCAGATCAAGACATTCCTGGAAATGGAAAGTCACGAAGAGAGAATACAGGAAATTATTGAAAGAGTATATAACACAGTGGCTTTTGGGTGCAGCAGCTTGCTGATAATGATGAACAGAACAAAGAGCTCGAAGCCAGCGAGGAGCGCAAAAGAAAGGCGAAGCAGCTGGAGATGCAGCGAAAGGAGGCAGCTCGCAGTGGCCGTTCTATGGCACCCAGGACTCCATCCTATCCTGTATACACTCCTCCATCACGTCCTGCTGCGCCCGAAACATATGATACTTATGAGGCGGAGAAGAAGAAGTCATTTGCGAAGTACGCCTTAATCTCCTATTAGCCGGATCTCTGAGAGACTGTTGCTGATGAAGCTCATTTCCTTAGGACGTTGCCCACACGCGGAAAAGGCATGCAACTTGGCAAGAAATCCAAGACCACAGATATCTACGAGAAAGTTCGAGGTGATCTGGGCCCCGAAGTTGAGGAATCAAGTCCGTTGGTGACTCCCCAAGTTTCGACGACGGCGGGCGAGAATGCCCCATCCGCTCGTGCCTCATTATCCGCCGACAGAGAGCCTATCCATATCACTATTGCCGAAACAATTTCTGCCAAACTTACCCGTGAAGGTGCCCTGAAGTCGTTCGAGGTGAAGGGCGACCTCCAGCTTCGTATTACCGACCCATCTTTCACAAAACTCAAGCTGGACCTGCTGGCCAATCCTACACATGGCGCACAGTTCCGCACCCATCCAAATGTTGACAAGGCCGTCTTCACCAACTCCTCAGCCATTCAGTTGAAAGACTTGACCAAGCGTTTCCCAGCCAACAACTCAATTGGCGTCCTTCGCTGGCGCGTTGCTAGCTCGGGGTCAGAAAATGCTGATATTCTCCCCATCACGTTCACAGTGTGGGTGAATAAGGGCTCCGACTCAACCACTGTAACCATCGAGTATGAGCTCACGGGCTCGGATACACTGAGAGATGTGGTCGTTTCCATACCTTTTGGTTCGACAGAGCCTACCGTGTCCAGCTTCGACGCTGTCTATGAGGTTTCGGGGGATAGTTTGGACTGGAACATCGGTACTGTGGACGAGACCAACGCTTCAGGAAGCTTTGAATTTGAATCCGCAGGCGACGGGGACGAAAATGAGTTCTTCCCGATGAATGTGCGCTTCTCCAAAGCTAGTCCTTTCGTCGAAGTGGATGTGACCAACGTGTCCCTTCTCGAGATGGAAGGGGAGAGCACAGGATTCTCGAAAGATGTGAGAAGCATTGCTGAGGGCTACGTTATTGAATAATCACCGTTTATTCCGAATTCTATAGAGTACCTTACTAATGACGTTCGGATCGCCTTTGAATCACCGCGTTTTCTTTGTTCTCTACCAGGATTCTTTGTTAGCAACTTATCTATTTATCCCAATACTATCACATTACAAATTGAAAACGAGATTAGATTCAACTAAACTAGGAGCTTGCTCGTTTGGCCTCCCAAAGCTTTAACTGACATAATGACGCGGGGGCGCTTGGTTGCAATAAGTATAGTGTGCCGTGAGCTTCTTCCACACTACTCCGTACTTGCTACTTTAACCTACCGAGTCAGTAGTAATGCCTGCTTCACGCCAGTGCTTGCTTCCGGTCAACATTATCAGGAAAGGTATTTGCGTTTAGTTCATAGCTTGCTGATTCCTACCTTTCTGGCAACCTTTCGTATCTCTGACAATAATTTTTGTCCAGTTGAACAATGTCGTCGATACTTGATCATTTGACAGACGTCAGTATTATAATTCTCTCGAGTTCAACCATACTCCCGCAAGCCCTGGCGCAACAGGCTCAAGTTGGAGACAGTTGATCCACGGAAGGTGTTAATGCACACATGGACACACTAATTGGCAGCCAGTGTCCTGCTAGGCGCCGTCCTTGTGATGCGCACTCTCCTGCGTATATCGACTTTCCTGTGGTTTTCTGTCACATCCCTTCCGACAGTTGACCGTCATCACATTCAAGGGCTCACTATTGGACAGTCCTTCATGGCAGGAACCAGGGGTCCTGTGATCCATTTTCTCATAACCATCGCGCACCAACTCTCCAACGTCAAGTTGACAAGCATGGTGGGGGCGACAATGTCATAACACAACAGCTACGTAACCACCTCCAGTCCTCGATGGGACATGGCCAGTGTCTAACAACGATACACTCTCTTATAGTTCGCGAGAGTTAAATCTCCGTCGAGACTCCGTCTCGACCGTAGTCGGCTGCCAATCTTTTCGGCCATCGAAGATCAACATTCGACACTATCTGCCATGCTACAGACGGCTTACTAACGGGTTGGCTCTATCGGCCATGGATAGACAGGGGCAAAAGAAGCAGGAGGGAGCTCAAATTGCTGGTCCAGCGAACGTTCCAGACTTCCCGGCTATCAGGGATCCAGATAGACTAGCATGCATGGACACCTGCATGCAAAGAGAAGTGGCAACCACCAGCAAGATGCTGCTGAGCGGCAAAATACGTGATGAGCAGCTGGAGTCTCCCTCCCACTGAAGCCATAACTTGAAGTCAAACCGTTGATCGTACGAGGCGTAGGAGGCAATGCTGAATTCGAATCTTGTCTCTACCTTATGGTTGCCACATTGCGGTCCAGACCAACGGGGTCAAGCAAAATGTTGATTGGATTTCCAAGGTGCTTGTACTTACTTTCGTGCTCTGGTCTAGATCCACCAGATTCGGCTCCAACAACCATAATAAGGGACATTCCCTACTTTTCAGGGTACGGGGATGTTCTCCACCTCGCACTTAAATTCCGGTCTAAGTTCTCGGAATATGGGTGATATGTGATTTGGATAAGATCTTCTTTGCTGTTCACGATCAATGCCTTTCCCAAGAGACAACTGACGCTTGTTATCTGGACATCTACTCTTCATCCTTCGAAGCACTGCCAAAAGAAACTGTCTAGGACTCACTGCTGCTACATATTTGGCGGTTCTGAGAGATCCTAACCGATTCTGTTAGGTAAATCTGACATAATGCTTTCGGCGTGAAGCTCTCCCACCGTCGAAGCTTTCTTCAGAGTATATTGATGCCAGGTACTTGTCCAAATATACTGCCTCAAAGCGCAGCTACTGAAATGTGGTTCTCCCCGCAGACATTCACGCCAATCCTTGCGAATCACAATGAGCGGCCTGCAGTTTCAACCTTGGACAGATCAATCAAATCTTTTCAAGTTGCCTTGTACAGACGCAGAAGGCTTTCCTCAATTGCCTCAACTGGCAAGTTTTCCCCCTTTCAGTCGAAAAACCTTTATCTGACTTATCTTCATATAGGAGAAATCAATCCCCCGCCTGTCAGAAAACGAATCGGAAAGATTGGGCAGCCGAAAGATGGCTATCCCAAGGTTGACCGAAGGAACTGAATCTGCCTTCACATCACCGGGTAGATTTCATCGCCGTCACGTACGGCGGGCATGCGAATCTTGCAGGCAAAGAAAGACAAAATGTACAGGGGATAAATCTGGATGTCGGAATTGCCGCGAGGCTGGGATCATCTGCTGCTATACAGATGGTAAACGGGAAAAGTCAAAAAGGTGAACCCTAGATCAACGTTGTTTTCAAAGAGACATATTGATATCCTTCAAAAGGCAACTAGCGAGCCTGTCAGCCAAGGTTCAAGCATATGAAGACGTAATCAGAAAGCTGAGTAGTCGATTTGGGGTTTCTGACGAGCGACTGATGAGCATTGCCCTAGCAGCGGTATGAGTGCGCCCTTCTCAGTCACCTCAAAGTGCTAAGCGAGGGCAGGAAATGCCACTGGAACTCAACGTACCATCAGACATGCCCGGCACATCAATTGGAGAACAGAAACTCCCATGGAACTCTGGGTCTGATCCGCCCTCCCGTCAATCCTCCGTCGGCCCCAGCGAGGTTATAGACCACACCAAGGAGGATTTCAACAGAGATGAGACTGCCCGGGCAACCGGGTATATGGGCAGAAGCTCCGTGATTGCTTGGCTACAAACGTTGACTAAAGAAGTCAACCAGGAATGTGAATCCTGGCCTCCCAATTCCTCTGATACGGGCGAGGATAATGGCGTGCCATCTCCATCCTTGACCCCTCGACCTGACGGCCAAAGCCACCCGTTAGTTGCCTCGTCAAACTTCTACCTCGATGATCTGGATCTCCCAGCGATTGAGCCGCTCGATGCAAGTGATGTTCCTTCAAGAGACACTGCAACTAAACTTCTCAATGCATATTTACATTCAGTGCATCCTTCTTTTCCGATCATCGGCATCTCGACATTCCTATCACAGTTCCAAGTATTCTTCAACCAGCCCCCAGTAAAGCCAGGGAAGAAATGGCTGGCGATTCTGAATCTCATATTCGCCATTGGTGCAAAATATGCCCACATTACCAATGTGGAGTGGAAATGTGGCGAGGATGACGATCTCATATACTTCTCGAAAGCGAGGAGTTTGAGCTTAGAGGACAAGCTCCTTCATCATCCTGATCTCCAACAGCTGCAAGTTGAAGGACTGGCATCTTTATATTTACTGGCCTCTGGCCACATCAATCGGTATGTCCTTGCCGCCTACCCGTGACCAAGCGACGTGCTGTTAAATGTGACTGTACTAACTTTCACATCCTTTCAGAGCATGGAAACTGTCGGGGAGTGCGATGCGTGGGGCCTTTGCTTTAGGGCTGCATCTACGCAATGTAGGAGTCTGTACATCAGATACTTCCAAGGAGATCAGATATCGTGTTTGGTGGTCTTTGTACACGCTCGATCATCTGCTCAGTGCGATGACGGGACGGCCGTCGTGTATCGTGGATAACTCATGTACCACTCCCTTACCGGTGCCGTTCGATGAGAGTGATTTTCAGAGAGAAGAGGTGGTGCGCATGATAGGTGATACAACAAGAGGCAATTCGGGCCAGCTGGACCGGATCCCCCCAGTCTGTCCAAGTGCATCCGACCTGAGCACTACCTTGGATCCTGAAACAACCGACGGAACGGCCAACACAAAAACTCCAGGAAGTAGCATGGTTGAATACCTGAAGAACCTCAGCCCGTGCATGTCATTATATTTCCTTCAGCTCTCCACGCTTACTTCAATCAACAAGAGGATGACTGCCAAGCTATATGGTCCCGAGGCGATGCATTCTCCTTGGCCAAGCAAAGAATTCACGATCCAGAGCCTGATGCTTGAAATCGATTCGTGGTTTATGAACCTGCCTAGCGCTTACGATTTCACATCGACTCAAATGTCACAGTGTCCTACAAGCCAAAGGATGAGCCTTGCTCTTCTGTTCTATAGCACAAAGATTGGTATCACGAGGCCATGCCTCTGCCGCCTGGACTCAACCCGTTCGCAAGGGGAAAAGACATTTGATTTCTGTACCAAGACCGCCGCTGAGTGTGTCGAGTCGGCTTGTCACATGCTGACACTGCTACCTGAAAGCCCAGACGCTACTTTACTTTACAAAGTGTCACCATGGTGGTGCATTCTACACTATCTGATGCAAGCGGCTACTGTCCTGCTTCTCGAGCTTACTTTTCGTGCTCAACATGTCCCTGACAAAGCGTCAATAGTCTCCAAAGCGGCCAAGAAAGCCCTGGAATGGCTGTCAGCTATGTCAACTTTTGATGTGGCCTCGGAAAGAGCCTGGCGACTTTGCGATGGGTTCCTCAGGCGCCTTGCACCGCATGTCGGTGTTGATATTGAAGATTTTCCCACCGCAGGTGATACTGCTGGCGACGCTACACCCGATGCTCAGTTTGATGACCCGGAAGATACAGCCGCGTGTAGAACAAGTGCTGACAATCTAACTACCGAGCTAGATGCCATTGTATGCTCACCAATGAATGAATCAAACTCCCCTCTGCATGGGCCGATCCCATTCGAATTAGACTCATCGGATCCATTCGACTTCCTGAAAACTGATAAATCGGTATCAGGTCGCAATACGTTCGATGACCTTTTCCCGTACGATGCAGATACGGGTCAGATCACAGGATCTTTCTTCCCTCCTGGCAACAACATCGACTTTGACTTGGGATGCTTTTGCGGGGACCCGATATTTTGGGAAGAGTAGCACCAGAAGAAGAATAAAGAAAAGCAAAGAAAAAGCCTAGGGCGTCAATATGAAATAGCAGGGTTCGGGGACGGACAAGATAAAGACGCATTATGGTACAACGAGCATTATTACCAAAAGCAGGGTAACCAATCTTTCTTGCGCATGCACCTGCGCATGACCTCAAGCTTCGGCATTTCTCATCATCAATCTTTGGAAGCGGCGCACCGGGACAACTCTCACTTCATAGCATTGCATTTCTATCATCCCTTCTTTTGCTTTTCCTGTTTGCATCACTTCAACATTCTTGCATTCTTTTTGCCATGAATAGAGGGATAGATGGATAGACGGAGGATATATTAGACCGTGATCGTGGACTCGATGGCAGAGAGATATGCAGCAACATTTACTGATCAAGTCATTGTGTGGCAACACTTCTTAGAGGCTGACACCGCTGCCATAAACAAAAATAGCCGCCAGGCACTGTAATATATGGTATCATTTCTACAAGTGTGAAGGTGATGCAAAATTTAAATTATTGGACCTTTCTAGCGCACGTTGGCCTAATGGCATTATGTCGCGAAACGGTCATTTCGGTAATGACGTCGTCGACATTAATCTGTGCAAGATCGCTGCTATACATGCGTCACAGGCTGCCAGGGATCAAGCCTCCCAGTTTCTTCTCCTCGCCGTAAAAAATAACCGAGCATTTTCTTCCTGGGTTCTCGGCCGTAGCAGGCCTGACGTGGTAGCATGCACAGCATTGATCTTCGAGGAGCGAACATCAACGACCGACGCCCTACCGCGAGCCCGATTGGCCCAGGATTCCGACGCGAGTGGCCACTTCTTCTCATCCCAGGACCGTATATCGACACCTAGTAAGCCTCGACCATCCCCCACGAAGCGTTCAATGCAGTCGAGAGGCGGTACGAATCGGCGACGAACGCCGCAGCCGGTATGGTTCGCGTCCAATTGATAGTCTGGACACTGTTTCAGGGACGATATGATCGAGGTGATGTCGGATGGTGGCCCGGCAGCGGTGGAAAGAGGCTGAGGCCGTTCGGGGGTGTTCTGGCCATTACCATCTTCGCTTTCGGGATCGAGGGTGAAGTCTGGGTCTAGCAGACTTGATCCTATGAAGATGGTCTTTGTGCGTAGTGAGAAGAAGCGCATCATCTGGCCTAGATGGAAAGCGTCGCAGGCGTTGGAGTTGCCGAATCCGCAGCGGCATTGAAATTGACGTGGTTGGACTGTAGTTTGTGCTGCTGATGGTGTTGTAATGCTTGGTTTGGGTCCATGTGGTTCTTCTAGTGCGCCGTAGGCACGGAGGAAGAATGCTTGTAGGTCTGTGATGGTGTTGAGGACGCATTGGCGTCTGTAGTATAGTTCTTCTGTTATCGATATTAGCGTATGGCTCTTCAGGCTTTCCAGTTGATCCCCACAAAGCGAGCGAAAAGGATCATATCTTTCTTTACCTTCTATACCATTAGAAACATATCCCCAGGGAGAAGTAGGAACATGACTCTCAATGCCGTTCATCCAATATCTAGACCCCCCAATAATCAGAGCATGCGTTAAAACTTGAAACACATGCGGATCATCCAAAAATCTGGCAATGAATATACTTTGTCGAACACGATCCTCGTTAACCTTCAGCAAAGAGTTATCGAATTTTGACAGGGAGATCTTGCCCTTCCCATAAGCATATTTTGACCTTTGCAAGGCCTCTCTCACGACGTGCGGAGAATTCAATGCATCGCCAGTTTCAAGTAATCTGGCAACAAGGGAGGTCGGTTGAACTCTTAACTCGGAGTCAAATCCTTGCTTTTCGTCGTCTTCAAGAGACCTGTAAGACAGGATTCTCAGAAACAATTCAATAGCATCTGCTCCGAGCCTCGACAGGAAACGATCACGGGATAAGCTGATAGTTGGCAGACTGTGCTGTAAGCAAGCTCCATTAGCGATATTTGACTGATCGTGCTCCTCTTCTTTCATTTCATGCTCCGGTATCTGTCTATGGCCAGCTCTTTGCTGCATGAACTGCCGGCCCTCAGAGAACTTGTTGGGATCGAGTAGAGCACGAAAGTATGGACTGTTTTGTATTAAGTCTTGACTGGCCACTTGCCAGCAATGCTTATCAGCTTGAGCTGAGCTTGAACCAGATGATCCAAGGTCTGCGTATTCAATGATAACATCCGCATGATTGACGATGGGTTTAGCATATTGCCGAGCTGGTCTCAAAGGACGAGTTTCTCCATATCCATGTTTGTCCGCCGTCGGAAAAGAGCTCGCTGCCTGCGGGTCAACCGCGGCAGACCCTGCCACAGTATGTCGAGGCAGTGTTCGGCTTGGATCTCCAGGGCCATCAGAGGAGGCAAGAAAATTATGCCCCCCCTTCATACTCGAGTACGTGGACTGATGTTTTAGCCCAAAAATGGTCTATAAAAAAGTAGAGCGCACAAATACAACAAAAGCAAGCGGCGCATCTGAATTACAGACCCATTAAAGCGCATATCTGAGCAACCGGGTTCTTGCTGCTTTTGTCATGTTTTCGGTGACGAGTGATGTTCTTTTGGAGAGCGGTGGCTTGCTATCTGGCATAAATTGAGAACATTCTAAAAGCCAAAGAAATAATTTCTTAGCATGTGGATGCTTCCTTTCTAAATCTTATATTACTCTGATAGAACAGGTGGCCTCAGATAAGTGCAAAGAGTATGATCATTTAGAACAAGACGCAAAGTTGAGGTGGAAATCACTGTCGATATTCGCCTCATTAGGAAACGAGTCACGTGATGGGTTGCGCTCAACTACGTAGGGACCATGTCCTAAGGTACAATCATGTAATAAGGGCAGAAAGACCAAGCTGTTCGATAGAAGGGCCCGAAACACCAAAATAAACAAATGATACTCAGGTATGGACAAATTATCGCTCGTACGATTACACAAGCTGTCCCTGAAATCCTCAAACGCCGCACCTGCTGCAAACTGTAAATCCTGGTCATTAACGGTCTGGAATATGTTGTCACGATGCATTCCGAATCGAGAGCCAACCCTCTACCTGATCGAGAAGAAAAGAAGATAATACTTGTGATAGTATCAAGGTAATGATACTACGGGAATATGCAGGAGCTTGGGTGCGTTCAATGAATCCAAGCTCGCAAGGCTATCTACTGCATTCTTGACTGTTGCATCACGTAATTTGATCGCTTGCCCGACAATAGCATGCAGCTTTGTTGCAAGTGGGCTCATGATCCTCGACGGTAACTCCGGAGCCAAGGGAGTCGTGGGACTCATTTCCTCATCACTCTCATCATCGTCTTCTTCTCGGCCATTTAGTATGCCATTCTTGTGAGAGATCATCGAGAATATAGCAAGATGAGCTGGCCTTTCATCTGAAGTGCCAATCTCATACCCGTTCGCCTGGAGAGAGTTGGTGTCGAAGATGTCATTTCCCCGGGAAATGAGATGCCACGGTTCACTGCACAGGAATCCCAGAACAAAATCTTGGTTGGCGCGAGCAGCAGCTAGACAGCTCTGTCTGTATTCAGGCGTGAATGAGGTGTCGGTAATTGACGGGAGACAGAGCACAAGACCACGTGCAAGGAGAGGCGGAGGTGGCAGATCATCACCGTTGGGCAAATTTCCAAAACTTGTTTCTGGAGTGCCATCCTGCGTTATGAGGTGAGATGTCGAGTCCAGAAGCGATTCCGTAGAATCTTCCGTATGTTGAGTAATGGTTTGAGTGAGAGAGATGGTCGAGGATTTCCGAAGAGTAAGGCCAAGACCACTCTCATCCGCAGCGTAGTCAAGCGTCAGATATTGCTGGTCAGCATCGGGGTCTTCCTTTGATTCAGAGTCATCATGCCCATTCAGCCAGGACTCAGTCGGGGCATTAACAGCCGTAATCTCTGTTCTGATGGTTTGCACACTGTCTGCAACCGCTTCTCGAGCGGCGGCCTTCAATGTCGGGATCAAGAGATCGGCTTCTTGGTTCCCAACGGCGACACCAGATGCCCAGGCCGTCGCAATGCCAGCCCACGAGGCTGCTTTCACCACACCTTTGGTGTACTTTTTCCGTACCAAATCTACCAACTCGTTTCTCACTTCTCTTGTCTCGGTTGTTGATTTTCCAACAACATCGACGGTAGCATTGAGGATTCGGCCGCTTTCCCAGATCAAGAAGGCGTGTCTCTTCGCCAGCAAGGTCAATTGGCGGACTGTCTCGTCGGACCAGTCGTCGATGATGTCTGCATGAACTTGGAAGATCGCAACATGAGGGCCGACCAAGGAGGCCAGAGTCAGCAGAGACTCGGTGGTGGTAATGGTATGTGAAGGAGAGACGCAGACTGGTACACCATGCGGTAAACCTTTTTTGGCCTTTGCTAGTGTCTGTAGGTAGGCAATGATACGGTTGCCCCGAAAAGAAAAGGACTCGAACGGCGTAGGTGATTCCATATTTAGCGCTGACTGAGATCGTAATAAATCGTGATCTCTTTTGCCGAAGAGAGGAGGGATACAATATGGGGGATCTTGTTTCTTTTTAACTACCGTATCTCGGGGGGTGAGAGCTGGAAAAGGGTCAATCAATAATAATAATGAATGGAGCTCCCATTTTGGCGAGCTAGACGTGTACTAACTAATAAGCTACTAACGCATCACTAGCCAGAACTACCAATAGATACTAGGTAGATAGATTATTAGATTGATACCAGGCCACTGGAGGCTTAGACAAAGAACTGGTCGAGACCAAAAGGGATTGACAGTTGGCCAATAATGTCAAATCCCCACTTTTCTTGGCAGTTAGCTCGACAAAGATCAGATGCTGGCGGGAACTTCTGTAATTATGTTTATCAAGGTATCGATTGAGGACCCGATACTTCGTTTTGGTAGGTCTGGGCAGCAAACTCAAAGTCTCCGAGTAGCACTTGCATAAACCCAGAGAGACGGCAAGAGACATTCAAGCAAACCTTATGCGAGCTGAGGAAGTGCTCCGCTTCAACTGGAGCGAATCCTACGGGGGA